ATCAGCAACTTTTAGACCTGATTTTACGATCGTTTTCACATACGGCCGGGATCTATCATTACAAGTATTCCTATCATTATCTAATTGCGGGTGAAATACACAAAATTCACGACGACTCAACCTCTCTTTGGCTAAAATATCTTATTTTTTCTAATTATAAATTGTAGTGCAAACAGCAAACTAGATACATTCATCAGAAAATTGCACGAGATTGAAACTCTTTCTCACAACTGTATTTTGTGGGCCAAAACACTATCGGTTTAAAATAGGTTTGTAATTAATCTCCCCATTGTAAACGCAAATATGAAAGTTAAACGAAATTAGTGAGATGAAGCTGTCTCTAAAAGCCTCGCGAAAAAGTTCACGAAAATTGTTTCTTGGGGGAATTTAAAAATGCATATTATTTTAAAAAATATACATAAAATCATTAAGAATTAACAGATTTTTACTTTCTTCCTATCGACAGAAGTAAAGGTAATATCATTAGGCTTTTATTAGAAAGATTCCATTTAAGTCATATGTTACAGCTACTGAATGCCTCGTTTTGTCGTAATAGACTGTTGTTTTTACAACGAAACTTATCGTAAAAGTATGCTGAATTAAGACTAATTATTAGATTACATGAAATGAGACAAATGACGTTCCTGTTTACTGCATAATATGCCTAATAGGTCTCTAATTAGTTTACATAATTTGCTGTAAAGTTTACTAAAATGACTGGCTACGTAATAGTTTATTGGAAGCTGGTATATGTGCTTATATGTATAGTGAAATGAAAGAATGACGTGAATCATAAACGACCAATTAGATAAGACAATCACTGATTTTAGTTATTCTCATCGAAGGCTTTTGTGTCTATGTGTATTCCAGCCAGGGTGACACTAGTTGCGCAACAGGGAGTATTATTTGTAGCTAAGAGAATGAAGGCTTGGACGGTTTCACATCTCTCAATGAAGTTAGTTATTGCTGAAGTTTTAGTGACAACTAAATTATATTTATTATAATTTTGAAAGGAAAGGATTACTTCTAGCTACCAAGTAGAAGGAGAACTTGATGTTTATGTTTAGATAAAGTAGAGTGCTTGATAAGGCTTTCGTTCTTACATGTTTATCTTCAATATTTCTCTGAAATGCATTGAACTGGTAGCCTCTAGTGCTTTATTTGTATGCAGAAGTACTCAGTTGAGACTTTGTTTCTGATTTTATTTTGCGTAATCATTTCCTAGACAGCCTTCTCAAATACCTTACAAAAAAATGAATATGCTGTGAAATATCTGTATGCCAAATCCATGACCTTTTTGTTTGTTAAAGTCAGCACAATAGTTTATGTGTCAATGTTCAAGTCAAATTCATACTATTCTTCAAATATTGTTCGATAGAAATTACCCAAGAGATTAAAAGTCCTAAAACTTTATTTTCTATGATTCTTTTTGTAAGGGATAGATCTGTTCCTACGAGTTTATCACAGATTGATATCAGTTAGAGAACCATTGAAACCAACAGGGAATACTGAACAGCTGTTTCATCCTAGTTTGGGAATCATCGGCAGTACGCACCCACCGCAAGGGTTTGAGCCCAGGACCTTCCACTTACAAGGCAAGCTCATATCCCATTCATCCACTGGGACCCGATTCATTGGCCACTCCATGAATTCTAACCTCTACCAGTTCGTGATTTAGCGCGACCCCTGACTGCCGGTGTTTCCCAAACTAGGATGAAACAGCTATTCAGTACTCCCTGTTGGTTTTGAATGGTTCCCTAACTGATATCAATCCGCGATAAACTCGTAAAAACTAATAATTTATACTTAATTAAAAGAATTCACTATGAAGATGGGGTTAAAGAACAAGCTATTGATATTTTGGTTTCGTTCAATAAACTGTTGGGTATCGGATCCAACTTTAAACCTCTTATTAGATAAATTCTAAGGTAACAGTTGGAAATCACTGTTTTTGAAGTGGCTTGCACATTTTTAAGTCACTTATATTTGTATTTATTTACAGAAAATGCCTAAATCCTTGACTAAAAATTGACTAATGATACAGATTATCGTTCAGTGTTAACTCCATTCTTGATATGAATACTAAATAATACAAGTGAATTTGAATTCGGTGTATAGTCATTCTTCGAAACTTTTGTTAACAGTAGTACAGCCTGTCACATCAACTAGCTGTACTTAACATTACTGTAAGTTTAGTATTTTATATGGGTGATTATGTCTAAATGTTAGAGAATTTATGTCACTGGAGAAAATAACAGATTATGCAGTTAATGTCAAATATTTTCGAAATAAGGAAGAAAGGTTACACGTAACAAAACAATATCAAGTAATTTTTACCAGGAACCACAGACTATACTTATTGGGAACCTACAGAAAACAAGAAGTCAGAAGGAATACTCTAATTCCTAGAATATCGAAAATATCAGGAGATCAAAACTATTGAAAAGTATAAACAATAACAAATCGTGGTTCGAAATTCTTATGGACCCCCATGAAAGCAAAAGGGTGCCTCAGAAGATGTCACAAGAGAGACAAGAATAAAAGTGACAGAAACAAGGAGTTTACTAAATTGAAATACACTCACTGTAAGTACCAGTAGAGATGAAGTCGGTGGTAGGATGCTTGCCAACGTTGGACATGTTCTAGGGTTCGATCTCGGAATGACAGATTCACAAATGTCTCTCAGCCCGTAGTAGACTCGGGCAAGAGGGAGGGTTGGATGTGAGGCTAGCAACTTCACCTCATTAAGTAAGCAACACTGCTAATTAAAATTTTAAAGATCGAGTTTGAAGCCATATGTTCCATTCGGAAACCAAAGAAATGAGAAGGGATCATAATCAAGACTGCAGAGAACACTTAAATAAATGAAAGTGATTAAAAACTCTCTATGATGCCTGTACACAGCACGTTTTCTATCACAAAGGAAAGCATTGCTATTAAAGTAGGATTTGGAAACTGCAGAAGAGTGTCATTCAAAAAAGGATATTTTATTCGATAAAACACATGCTGATACTGTAGTATTTACAAACTGTATCGTTTTGTGCGTTTTATTAGATAAACTATTTCTGTTAAAGAATAACTGTGATGCGCCTCTACGACACTCTAGGTGTTAGCCAATACGCTTTATTCCTAAAGAATTTCAAAACTTAGAGTTACTTTGATGATTACACTACATGACATTTTCTCATGAAAAGTTTTCACTACGTTCACAGCTTAATTTATGAATTATTATTAGCATTTTCACCCATTAAACGATTAACGAGATAGTGATACAAATTGATTTGAGTTTCTTGGTGATGGTGGAATCAACTAACCCTTTACTTTATTCCTGAAAAATAACAGTACTGTTGTTACGTTTGTGAGAAAAATTTCAGTTACACAAACTATTCACTTATATGATAACAGGTGACTGAAGTTCGTAAATTTATGTAAGTGAAGAGGTGTTCACGTTTGTCACCTGTATTATTGTATAAGCGGCTACTATTCCAATGCAAGTATAGGATTTAGGCACATTGGTAGGACCTAATCCCATGTGAGATAAGTTTATTTGATATAATCCACAGTGATATAGTACTGATAACCGGATGACATTTCAAGCCCAATCTATTCCTAGAATTATGGTAACATTTAAACGAACTAACTCACTCAGTAGGAAACTTTGTCAGGTTAAGGAACTGATAGATCCAGTTTAGGAAAATAGCATGATTTACCCAGTGGCATGTCATGATTATGAGGTCAATTGCGTAATTGAGACTAATGGAACAGAGTCACTTAGATTAATAGGTGGACAGAAATTTATCTAGACCTAAGATAATCAACCCTGATAAGTTGAATAACCTTTAAAAACTCAACCATAACAACGAATTCATTTCCATGTAATCATACAGTAAGGTGGGAAAAGGCGAAGGTATTAAAAACAAATATAGGCAGGTGGAGAAAAACGTCAGAAGATAACTCAAACATTCAAATGTTTCTCATAGTTCAAAGTCATTTTTTAGATCGACTTAATCATTACAAGCCTCCCTAAGTTGGTCCGAAATTATGAATTATCCCAAAATAATCCTCTCCTAACGTCCATTTTTCTTCACATTCTGAAAATCGGTCGGTCGGTCGGTTTTCGACATAGAACTTTGCACATATGTGTGGCAGTTCAAGTCGCCCCACTCCATGTAGCACATAAAGCAAGAGAAGAAAGTAGAAAAAATGCATAATAGAGACCGTAAACAGAGGTGTGAGACAAAGGAATAGTAATAACGAAGAACGATATAGTTTCATTGGGTATTATAAGTAACAAGGAGTAAATGCATCTGCGCCATCCATTGATAACGATTTTGAGCCATATCACCAATTGTCTCCGGACATTGATGTTTACCTTCCAGAGAAATCCAACCAGTCAGGAAGTGTACACCTCCCTACGTGACTGGCTTAAACTAACTGTTGTAGATTTCATTGACTGGTGCCATATTTTCGTTTAACCGCCGCTGGCTCTTTTCCAGCCTGCCCTATATCAGCTAACATTGCCCGTCGAGGAAGGCGATGACTAGGCATACGTAGCACATGTCCTAACCATCTCAGTCGATGTAATTTAACAGTCTGACAATAATAAATACCCATACAAAAAAGAAAACCAACCAATTGCTTGATCATGATCTTATCTGAAATAATTTCTGTGCTTTTTTTCCATTGTTGATAAAAATTTTTATTACATAGTGAGGTATCAATCTAAAATCTTAACCAGCTGTTACTCTAGAAAAAAAAGCTACTTTTTAATATCCTAAATAGACTGAGACATTGTAACTGTACAGAATTTCAGTAGAGTTGACTTTCACGGTTAATTATTTTAATTGCTAACAAATATATTTACGTGTTAGTGAATATGTATAGACATAACACTGAAAATGTAACAGAGTTAATTGCTTAAATTTACCCTTTATCTTATTACTTTATCTTTTTTTTACAAAAAAAATATTTCAGCACATTTTCTACTCACCTTCTACACAATGATGTTAATTAATTCAGGCTTATTTTTCACTCCAAGTGATTGTATCATACACAAAGATTTAAATTCATCTCAACTAACTGTGAAATATTACCCATCCAAATTGTAAGTTCAGTTTAGTTATATTGTAACAAAACTATTTATTTATTTGTTTATTTCATTGTTTGTTTTTTCTTCTTTAATTAATTTATAAAGGGTTTTGTTTTATTTTCTATATATTTAATTGTTTTGTTTACTCATCATGATTTGTTAATTCTCGGTAGTTTGATTAAATACCAGACTGAGGAACACTTTGTTACACTGAGTAGTTTCAGTTTTTTATAGATCTAATGAGGATAGAGTGGAGGTGAATATTTATTTGCAGCCTACGTTATGCGTGTTTCAATAGTCTAATTGCTGACGGTGGCAATGTTTTGTCTGAAGTGACCGCCTTTCAAAATAAAAATAAATAATATATAAATTTGTATATTAATTGGTCACTAGAGAGTAAGGAATCGTAGATATGCTGTCTAGTCTCTAGTGTTTACGGAAATTCTATCCGAGGTTATTTGTAGAGTTTCATATAAGACAAAAATATCACTGATGAATACGCTACAATCTACATCTAAAGCAATATGCCTACGATTTTAAGTCTAGATAGTAGCAAATATACCAAAGAACTCTAATAAATTTCATCTACAAAAGTGAAAATTTTTGTGCAAAAGAAGCAAGTCCAGCCGCTACTACTGCTCTGGCCTTCAGTAGGAACTAGGAATTTTATAATTTTTGATTTATTTTGAAAATTGCGGCAGAACTCAGTGCTATATAAATTTGAAATAAGATAAGATGATTGCTATAGTGTGACAGCGAAGCCAGCTGCTTTTTCCGTTTTAAGATTTCGAAAACCTTTTCGAGTCTTTTGTAGACATTTTTGTTAGGCATCATGAGAAGTTGAACATTAAGCCTTCTAGAACGTGATTTTTATGTAAAATTAGTATATTACTTTATGAAAGGTGAAATATCCACTGCTTAAGTTGTGATAATGTTTCCTGTTACAGCTTAGATACTAACTAATTACTCGCGAGAAAAATCTATACAAGGAAGCGGTATTAGAGGATGACCACATATAAGTTATCTTATCTGATATACAGTGCATTGATACAGTATTATTTCTCGAGTTTGAATACCAGTATCAGTTTCCGTACAATTAATTCCTCTTGATTATTACAAAATATATGAGCTGAAATCACTTGTTCCTCCTATTCTCACTAAAATTCATTCAGAAGTCTGATATCAGAATTCAGGTGAATCAAGTTATTTGTCTGACATCTTAATTTAAAAAGCATTATATGGGAAAAGTAAGACTGGCTAGCAGAGTGCTTTGAAGTTTGGTCACGGACTGATATCAGTTAAAGGACTATTGAAAACCTCGGAGTATAGGACAGCTACCTCATCCTAGTTTGAGATTCTTTAGCGGTAAGAAACCATGATCCCACCAGAGATTGAACCCAGAACCTACAGAATGTGAGGTGAGCTTGTTGACCATTCAGCTACTGTTATTCATTAGTTCATCAGTTCTTATTTATATCACTTCACCGTCTCCAGCCAATGTCGTCGGGGAATAGTTTTCTTCGCATGCTACTTGGTGGATTTCATGGTTCGTCACATCTTACTAGGACTTCAGGTAGCTTCATCCTGTGGCCAGTCACTAGTGAGCATCAGATTGATTTTCAGATGTTAGTTTGTAGGGGGTTGATCAGTTTCAAGTATGAGCAACTTAAAATTCCATGGATGAATTCAACTGTCAGGAGAATTCACGGACTACATAGACACACAGCAAAAGTCTCACAGTAGCATATAATACTTTTTTTAATGTTTAAAATAGTAGTCAGGAGTTATATCTTAAGAGTAAGGTATTTGAAGTGCACTGAAAATGAAATACTTTCCTACATTTATTTGGCTGCTGAACACTTCAACGATATTTGTGAAGAGAGAGAAAGACATTTCGGCGAAGAAAATCTCTTTTTGTCGAATAAGTCATAATGATAATAATAATTTGCTTTATTCCAAAATAGTATTTTTGATACAGAATGGAATTCTCAGCATTTTACGACAGTATTGCATCCAGTTAGTATATTATCAATAAATAGAATTCTACATAGATTAAGGAAATTCACAGTTCATTATGACAACAACATATTGGCATGTCGGTAGCAAAGCCGAAATTGAACAGTGTTTGAAGGTGTTAGAAAAGTAGACGCTGGCATATTTACTGGCGTAAGCGGTAACAAAACAGTCGAGATATACGGAGTGTGCAAGAACGAAAAAGAATGTTTTAAATAGAGTTTGTAAGGAAGAGCGAAACAAAGCAGCACATAACAGAAAAAGAGAGAAAAGGAAAAGAAAGAAAGAAAACGTTGTACCTATAAATGATGTGAGTTGGAAAGACGAGGTCCAGTTGTTCTACTGATTATTTAATAAGTTATAGATATCACGCCTAATACTTTCTTTATCGCACAGAACACGAATTAGGTAGGGTATTGTTGAGTTTTTGTACTTGCTAGTGCGAGCATATAGTTTCCTATATGGGCTTCTGGTTCTGTCTGATGAGATACAAGGGGGGAGTTGTGAATGAAGAGGGCGGCGTGAGTTAGACAGAAAGGATTTAGCCAATTTTTCACATGAGTCCAAGTGCCTGTCAATCAGAATATTAACAAGCTGGTTAAGTGGCACGTTGCTTACCCTGCTGACAACCTTTAACATCCTGCGTAATAAGGTATAGTCTTTCTTAAGTAGCATTGGAAAAACTAAGGGGGAACAATAGAGAATAATAGGCAGAATGCGAGAGTTAACGAATTGTAGGAGTAAGAGTTGGGTTATTCCAGAATGTCTTAACTTCTTGATGTAGAAGGTAAGACGTAATATTTTCTTAGAAATCGCCAAGATATGAGACGACCAGGAAAGATCAGCAGAGAGAATGACGTCAAGATATTTAATTTCCGACTTGATTTGTATTCCAGTGCCATCTATGTTGCATACCTCGTGAGTGCTAACCATTTTGTTTAGGTCAGATTTATGCCTAAAGGTGAAATTAACTATTTGGCATCATCTTCAGTAGTATTTGTATATACTAAAGCATCTCGTTATTTAGTACTGAGCAACAGGCTGGTGTGACATAAATGATACATTTACTCAGAAGTAAGGTTCCTAAAGATAGGAATAGATTATGTAGAAATCAACGACACAATAAAAGTAAGAGTTTGAAATTTGTCAAGGTGGAGATTGTTATTACGTAAGAAGCTAAGTGAATTAGCGTCAACTTGAAAAGCGTAAAGAACGTGAGAACAAAACAATGACTAGTAAAAGACATAAAAGGGACTTTTGAGAATGATACTAGCCTTACACAAGTAGTAAAGAGTTTAAAATTTCGGTAGGATGAGAGGCTGATCAAACTTTTCCTGCTCACAGAATTCAGGTATGAATTAACTAGCCTCTAGTGCCTCTGTCATTCACACAATTTTCTAAAACTAGTATCCCTTGATAAATATGAGTAAACACTGGTGCTCATCATTTATGTTTGGAAATTAAAACTTTCGAAAAATTACTTTCCCCACAGATAATTACTTAATAAAAATAAGTAAGAATACTTCACAAACTAATGGACTGCAGTAATGCATAAAAATACCATTTTGGAATTTCTCATGAACATTTTAGAAGTGATCACCCATTGGTGGTTCTCATAAAGCACATATAGTGTGTACTGTGTAATGACTAAAATAATTGAATCACTTTGTCTAACTCTATTAACGGTTTGTCACTGTTAGTATTACCGTGTTTACTAATAGTTAAAACAAGCGACTACAAAGCAGGATTACAAACAAATTGCGTTATAAATACGGCCTACCACTGGAATATACATGTGGTTGTATGAAGCTATCTGATTATCAATACAATTGCATTTCTTCCTTTACTTCATTGAAATGCTTCTGCTTCCAGATGGAGATATTATCTCATCGGATTAAGGAGTTTTACTATCAGACAGTCATGCTATGAATCAATGCTTAGTAGACACAAAATATAGGTAAACAATTTTATTTTTCAAGAGTTGGTTTGTTTTTACCAGTTTGACCACGGATCAATATCAGTTAGAGAACCATTCAAAACCAGGGAGTACTGGACAGCTATTTCATCCTAGTTTGGGAATCATCGACAGTACGCACCCAACGCCAGGGTTCGAACACAGGACCTTCCGGTTACAAGGCGAGCCCGTATGCCATTCATCCACTGGGACCCGATTCACTGGCCACTCCATGAATTGGAACTTCTACCAATTCGTGATTTAGCGCGACCGCAACCAATGTCGTCGGTGGGACATCCATCCTCACAATTGACTGGATTGAATTTTAACATAGAAGTTTTCATTGAAGCACAGCATTTCAATTTGTGATGTTTCATATAGGACACAAAGGAAGACAAAAGAGGGAAAAAGGGATTCAAAAGAGCTATAATGGACAGAAATATGTAGGGGAGAGCTACTAACAGGAAAAAAGTTATGGTTCAGTGGGAATGGAAGATCACAAAAAGTGAATACATCTGAGCTACTGAGAGCGATTTTCAGAAATATCACATAAAGTGTCCATCAGTTGGTTTCAAGCATCCCATGAGCCTCAAACAGTCAGTCTATACCTCTCTGCATGGTTGGTTCGAACCATCTGTTAGAGACCTCACAGACCGATCTCACGTTATGATATAACCACCTTTAGATCTTCTCCAACCTAACAGTATGCCATTTAACATTGCTCGTCAAGGAAGGCGGTGCCTCATCATGCGTAACACGCATCTTAGCCATCTCACTCGATTTAGCTTCCTAACGTTATCCACTGACTTAATCTGTTACCTAACACTCTACGCATAACCTAAATATTGCTGACCACATTGCACCACTTAACAGGGGAGATAAGACGCAAACGTCTGTGGCTGAAGACAGTCAGCCTGTTTGCATCTTCCGCTCACAGTGAGGGTAATAACTATTTTGCTTAAGTCAAAGCAATCTGAAAATTATGATACTTTTGTGATGCAAGGAATGGGACTATCTGCTCATCTATATCCTGATGTCGATTAGTTTT